CCCTCTCAGAGCCTCGCCTAATCACACACCTAATGATAGTGAAGCCATTAGACACACTTGGAGTACTTAGCACATTTTTACACGTGACCATCTGTCAATATTTTTGTCCCTGTCAAAATTCTTCTGGCTAAGAAAGATTTCTTCTCTGTATCTAATAAAAAAACACACACACACAAAAAAAAACACGATATTTTAAAGTTAACAAGTGAAACCCACTGCACACGGCCACCTTCTCTCTCCTAGGTTTTAAGCTACTCTGGAGCCTTAATGGAACGCATAGTGCGGTTCTGCAGGTTCAGGAGAGCAGAGTGCTTGCAAACGTTTCTGTTGTCTTTCTAGGCAGTGGGTTGCTCATATTACTCTAAATTTTCTAATTTGGTAAGCTTGTCTCACAAACACCAGAGAGAAGCCAGGCATGACAGGTTGTGACTTCGACCCCAGCACTCGGGAGACGGAAGCAGGCAGGTCTCTATGAAGCCAGCCTGATCTCCAGAGAGCTGAAGCTACATAGCAAGACTCTGCCTTCAGAACAAAAAACAGAAACAAAAGATAAAAATACAACAAATGCTAGAAAGAAATGTCTCATATTTCTTACAAACATGTAGCTCTTTTTTTCCAAGAGTCAACATGCAGTATGCAAACAGCACACTATTTTTACATGACTGCTCAGAGGAAGCAAATGTTCCAACAGAAACAAAACACAGGACAGATGAAGGGTCTGATCACTCGAGGGAGCACCCTGTCATTTCAGCAGTAACTGGAGATCCCTCGAGTTCTGATGAGACGGGATGTTCAGTGGGGGCGGGAACAGGGAAGAGGTGGACGGATGGTGACCCAGCTCATTTGTGGAGGTAGTAATAACGAAGGCCTTTAATTCTGATGGTTGGGTAAACTATCACCTCTCATAGAAACATATGGAAGGGATATTACCATGGCAACAGTGGAGGTAGGAAAGAGAAGACAGTCTTCCACTTTATCCACTCAAAGTGTCAAGGACACAGAGAGTAGACATGCCACTAGTGGCCAGACCCATGCTGAAGGCAGGGAAAATGTGCTGCTTAGGCAGTCTTGACCCTAAAACACACAGGTTGTTGACTCCTGCACTGTACAAAAATGGGTTTTTAAGAAATGTTGATTGGCATGGTTTGTGAAGATTTGCTCCTTTTGTTTATTTGTTTGTTTTGGTTTGGTTTGGTGTTTTTCAAGACAGGGTTTCTCTGTGTAGTTTTGTTGCCTGTCCTGGATCTCAATCTGTAGACCAGGCTGGCCTCGAACTCACAGAGATCCACCTGGCTCTGCCTCCTGAGGGCTAGGATTAAAGGCGTGTGCCGCCACCACCGCCCGGCGATATGCTCCTTTTTTATATGATAAGTACTACTAAGTCATGACTATTATCTTTAGATGTTAGGATATGAGTTTCCTATTCATTTGGGGGGAAATAGTAGACACTTGTGGGTGATCCCAGCATGAGTGATATGTGCTTGTGTATACAATTATTTCTATAACACTGTTTGAACTAAATATACCTTTTCAGTTTAAAGTGCATAATATCAATAAGAAAATGTGAGCATTTTCTACAAGCTAAGATAAACATTTTATATCGAAAAATGTGTCAAGTTTTCTTCAGATCCAGGCTACCACAAGAACTTATAAACACACACAGACACACAGATGCACACACACACACACACACACACACATACACACACACACACACACACAATGAGATTCAAAAGTAAATGGGCATTTGGAAGTGTTTTTATTCTGCTTTTATACTCTTTGATTATATACATTAATACAAATAGTGAGATTCCATGTCCTTGTCATTAAAATTCATGTGCATTACATATAACTAAAAGTCCTTTCATTATGGTGGATAGACAACAGTGGGCTGTTTTAAAACAGCTAGGGGTTTTGAATGCTAAAAAGATAAGAAGATAACAAATGTCCAAAGTGATAGATATGCCAATTCCAGTTGGCATATCTATAATTACATATCACTATCATGTGTTAAAATGTGACACTGTACCCCATAAATACATAGAATTACTGTGTGTGTCAACTAAAAATAAAAATATATGCTTTTAAAAGTGTCTACAGATCTTTAATTTTTAAGGGTTTTAAATTTTTTTATTTGGTGTTTGTTTGTCTGTCTTTGCTGAGACTAAAACCCAGAAGCTTCATACATACAGGGCAAATGCTCCTTGCACTGCATTTTAGCCCATGTTGTTCTCTGAGTACATATCTAGGCATCAGACACGGCGGCACACAACTGTGATCCCAGCACTCAGGAGGCAGGGATAGGAGAGTCACTCAAGTTCAAGGCCAGCCAACATTGCACAGGGAGACCCTGCTGTGAATCCCACTGAACATGACTACAGACCATTACCCAAATTATTTACTCAAATTATGCAAGCTTTGTTTCCTGTCAGGCAGCGGGGCTTAAGAAAATAGTATTGAACACAGGAGAAGGCAGGGTTTGTATAGCCCCCACAAATCGCAAGGTTAGGGGTGTCTAAGGATTAGGAGATTTCCAGAGGAATTTTGGTTACATAGGAACTTGGCTGAACATTTTAAAATTACTTGGTAGAACATCTTATCAGGGTGTATTCAATCCGTGAGTCAAACTCCATCAGGTGGGGAGCACTATCAAATTCCAGAGACAGGTTAAAAGCACTTAGGTCAATTTGAATTTTACAGCAAACAGAAATGAGCTTGTTCTGACCATATAACATAATGGCTTCCACTGTTAAGATGAGGTCAGGCTGCTCCATCACTGCCTCAACAAACAACCCCCCCCCTCAAAAAAATCACCAAAACTTTGGTGTATACATATATATTTAGCACCTTGTGTCTTAAGTCATTCTTTAGCATCTATTACCTCATGTGACTATGTGGAATAATTCTTGTTCCGGGGTAGCTTTCATGCTAGCATCAGAGTTTTCATGCTAAGCTGCTGCTGACATGTTTGGTTAACTGAAAAACAGCTCACCTAGTTGACTTTTAAATGGTCGCAGCCCTTCCTTCCGGTAGCATTAGAAGTTATGCTGCCACTGGTTGATGAGTCCAAAAGAGGAATTTTCACTACTCTCCTGAGATTCCTGACCCTTTGAGGACTGCATTGCTGTTACCAACAACCTACAGATGAGACTACGTCAGCATAAGCAAAGGTGGCAAGAACTGAAAGCCACAAATGTTCCCAATAGTGTGAACATAAGTAGAGTACATAAGATAATCAAAAGTCCTCCATTTAAAACTACTGGTCACTCAGAATCCAGCAGGGCCTCCACAGCTAACTCTGTGTGCCTATGATAAACTATTCCGACATGAAATGGTTTCTGTTTTGATCATCATAGCTAAACTATTTTGCTAACTTTCAGGGTTGAACTTGCGACTTAAGTTTAACTGTCTCTACACTGTACCCCTCCCATCAACAGCAGAAAACAAGCATCTTCCCTTGCAGTAAGCAGTAGCAAATGGTGTGCATATTTCTGTGCTGCAGACAACTATGTCACTGTAATCTAATTTTTGTTCCAAGATTATTCATCTCCAGTTCGGCATCAGAGACAAAAATTACTTTATTTGATTAACCACGAGGACTGGGAAGTAGTCTTCCATATATCTTAATATTCAACTTTAATATATTCATTAGAGAGAAATGATCATATAACCTCAAGTAAATTGTCTCAAATTGGAATGGTCAAAACAAAAATGTCAATATCCAAAGAGAATTTAGTGTATTACATAAGCACATGCAATCATCTAAAATGAAAACTAATCACTCTGTACCAGAAGAGTAATAACAGCCAAACTTCTGCCTAGTTGTCTTCCAGTGAAGGATGAATAATTCATGACTCAGGTAAGATTTCCATCTCCCCTGCATCTTCCATAAGATTTTACCAATTTCATTATTCAAATCGTTTCTCTTTGGAGCACTTTAGCCATGCTGGAACCGAAATGATGTTAGACATCAAACCTCCTGATGTTATTTGTACATCTGTCCCTGGTAGCAAGCACAGTGTGACAAAGCCTTATGGGAAAAGGCACGATCTGTGGGCCTGGAGCTGTGGCTTCAGAGCTTGACGCCCCTCATAAGTCTGACCTGCTTTTTCTCCATATTTCCTTACACTCTCCCTGTAATCAGATCTTTTCTTACTCAGAAGTATTTGGTCTCATTAGTTTTTTTTCCCATATAGTAGAACATTTAAATTATCCGGCTAACGCCTTATTTTGTTAGTGCTTTTTATCTCATAATAAATGCCCCCATCAATACTGTCACCATATTCATCCACCAGTTATATACTGAATCAGTCAACATTTGCTGAGGTTTCAAGTGGTGGTATTGTACTAAAAACGGAGGGTAGGGGGAGTCTCGAACTCTGTCTCCCAGGAGGTTACAGATGCAGTGGGCTGGATGTTACGATGCCCGGCAATGCTACCCCACACAGACAGACAGGTGATGCCCGGGCTTACAGGGGAGAGAAGGTTCCCTGCTTCTTAAGGATGGCGATGTCTGAGGGAAGAGTGAGGAGACCTGTAGAAGGAGAGCATGGACGCCTATGAAGGAGGAGCAGGCGATAAAGCAAAAGAGCTCCAGGAGAGCAGTTGCCAACTCTAGTGTCTCCAGGCATCGGGGGGGCTCCATGTAGATGACATCATGCAGATGAGCGCAGGGTAGTAGAAAGCGGAAGACTGACCAGAGAGGAGAGCTCGGCACACTGAGGCCCTGGCTTAAAGAAATAGCTACACGGAAGTCAGACACTCCTTACTTCTCAAGAGAAGCCGGAGATACAGGCTTCGTGCGGTACATATCTACTCTGGCACAAAAGAAAACGGCCCTGGAGGATAGACTATTTTAAACAGAAGAAGGACAGAAATTGACATCCTAAAGACTGGCTTAGAAAAGCACAACCGGACCCAGTATGCTGGTTGGAAAGCTGTTGCAGAAGTAACGGCAGTCCTCAAAGCCGGGACCATGTCAGTGGAGGTGTGGTGTAAAGACTGATCAGATACTGAAATCTGACCTGGCAAGATGTGGAAACTAGTTCAACACCGGGAGAGAAGGAAATGGGAAGTCCCAGATACGCCTCCAGTTTGTACCAGCCAAAGTCAGGTGGGAAAGGATGTGTGGGAAATAAGGTGAGTTTTGTGCTGCACAGGTTATGTTTACGGCTCTAATGGGATGTCAAAATGGAGGTGTTCAGTTATCACGTGTCTTGAGTTTAGCTGGAGTTTTATGGCACAACTAAGAGATTTTTGTCAATGGTCACTGTATTAAAGCCAGGGCTTTTGAAGTACCTCGTAGAGATAGTCCATGAGAAAGGAAAGGACAGGGAAGGGAAGGGAAGAGGAGGGGAGGGGAGGGGAAGGAAGGGAAAGGGAGAAGGAGGGTAAGAAGGGGAGGGGAGGGGAGAAGGGGGAAGGAAGGGGAGGGGAGGGCAAGGAAGGGGAGAAGAGGGGAGGGGAAGGAAGGGGAGAAGAGGGGAGGGGAAGGAAGGGAGGGCAGTGTGAGCATAGGCTCAAGACAAGTATCCTTCGAGAAGAGAATAAATAGTGAAGGAGACAGTGAAGAAGAGGAAAGCAGACAAGCAGAGATGAAGGAAGATCCAGCCAGAGAGCTTACTGCAGAAACGTGAGGCACAGGTATAGATATGAGATAGATCATTGAATCTACTCTGAGAAAAAAGATAAAGAAATAATAGGATAAATAGGTAGATCACTGAATCTACACTGAAGAAAAAGGGGAAGATATAAAAATGACAAAAGGTAGACTACTGAATCTATTATGAAAAGAAAAAAGAGAAAATATGGATATGATAAGATAAAAAGGGAGATTATGGAATCTACTTTTAAAAAGGAACTACTTGTTTTAAATAAGATAAGTAATGAAAATTTTTTGGTCTGAGTTTATCAGATGTTACTGGACTGGACATTGTTAATATATATAATGGAGTTTTTATCTGAATCTGTCAAATGTTAATGGACTAGACATCATTAATGTAATTTTTGTCTGTATATATTGTATATACTTATTAGATAGTTTTTCTTGTATTAGTTATAAGCTTTTTTAATTTTAGACAAAAAGAGAGGAGATGTGGTGGTATTGTGTTCCCCAAAATATTGTGTATTCTAATAAATTTATCTGGGGTCAGAGAACAGACAGCCACTAGATACAAAGGCTAGAAAATGGTGGCACTCACACCTTTAATCCTAGCATTCCAGAGATAGAAATCCCTCTGGATCTCTGTGAGTTCAAGGCCACATTGGAAATAGCCAAGCATGGTGACACACGCCTTTAATCCCAGAAAGCCAGCCTTTAATCCCAGGGAGTGGTGGTAGAAAACAGAAAGATATATAAGGCGTGAGGACCAGAAACTAGAAGCTTTTGGCTGGTTAAGATTTTGGCTGGTTAAGCATTCAGGCTTTTGAGCAGTAATTCAGCTGAGACCCATTCCGGATGAGGACTCAGAGGCTTCCAGTCTGAGGAGACAAGACCAGCTGAGGATCCAGCGAGTAAGAACTTTTAAGATTCCTGCTACACACAGGAATTAGCAAAGGCGAGTGTGCAGGCGTGAGTGTCAGGCACTGTGGACTTTATACAGTGAAAACTGGCTCAAGCACTTAGGCTACTGCAGGAATAAACTTCTGCTTGTAAGAAACACTTCAGTGATAGCGAAAGGCTGTGGGCAGCTGTTGGGCACAAACCAGGATACAGCTGAGAAGAACATGAGAGGTGGGTATACAACAAGGGTGAGCAGAGGTGTAGGGGTTAGCGCTGGACACAGGCTAATCCAAGTTGTTGATATCTTGGGGTAACTTGTGTGAAGCCAGAGTTTAAATCCTTTCTCAAAAGTAATGGAGTGATAGAGAAAGAGATAGAGAAAGAGAGCTGACTGGGAGAACCATGACCAACTCCTGGCATCACAAGAGGTCAGAGTATCCTAGAGGCCCTGAATTTGTGTCAACCCAGGCTATTGTCCTCCCTGGCTATTACAGTAAAAAACGACACTCTAAAAGAGTGCGAGTGTTGGTGTGTCATGGATCTCTGCCAGAAGGAAGAAAGTAAAGGTGGGAAATGGGAAGCCAAGGACAGGGTGCTGTGAATAAAGGAACCCAAATGATAGACCATAAGAGAACCTGTTCTAGATAGACTGTTTTAATTTTAGAGTCACACTTACATCTCTATTTAGGCACTGGGGTATCTAGATGGGAGCAGATAGAAATCCTTAGAGCCAAAGACAGTATAAATCCCAGTGTGATGATGGGAGTCTGTGTTTGTATATGGAGATAACCTTTGTTATAGCTTGATTATGGAATATGACACAGACTCGTGTGTTGAGTACTTATTCCTAACTGGTAACACTATTTCAGGAAGGGCTAGAAATTTAGGAGTGTAGGGTCCATAAGGAAGAAGTAGGTCATGAAGGATGTTCCATTGAAGGCTATTCTGGTCCCTTTCGCTCTCTCTGTTTCTGGTCCACTATGATGTAAGAAACATCCTCTTCCACACAGTGCCTTAACCATGATCTACCCAATCACATGGGGCCAAACAAGAGTGGAGTAGATGTAGTTGTGCATGCATGGTGTGCGTGTGTGTGTGTGTGTGTGTGTGTGTGAGAGAGAGAGAGAGAGAGAGAGAGAGAGAGAGAGAGAGAGAGAGATTCATAGACATGTACCATGACACTCAAGATTAAAGAACAAGTCTGTAGAGCCGTTTCTCCCTCTCCACCTTTACATGGGTCCCAGGGATAGAAAAATAGTCATCAGACATGCAGACCAATTCACCTTATCCTCTGACCTATCTATCCCCTGGGTTATCTTGCTTATCTTTAATATATTCCTACAATATGCTATGTGCCTCCCTTCTCACTAACAAATACTTGTGTTTACTGCCACATTTTTGCCATGCGACCTCCTCACCTAGAGTGATTTTTACCAAAGGAAGTCATCCTTGTTGGCCACTCTAGATGAAGTTGCACTGCTGACATGGAGTCCTTTCCTTGGCCATTGCTGAATCACTTTACCACACAAAATCGTCTTAACTTCTCATATTCTCTAACTGTTCATGTGTTTGTCTTCTAAATAACATCCCTGAGGACTTTCAAACACCTCGTCACAGTGGTTTGTAGAATGTGGAGTGCACTGTACTTGCAGGGTCAACTAATACAGTTGAACGTGCTTGAATCAAGACATCTCATACTTTGTATTTTAATTCCAGCTTTGTCCCTTGGGCTGAATTCTCTTTATTTGTGCATTCAGAAGCCCACGATCACTTAGATCCTTTTCACATACTGAAATCACTTTTAGCAGAACTAAATAAAAAAAAATCTGGAACTACACGAAAATGAAACAATACAACAAAACCTCTAGAACATATTGAACACAGTCCTACAAAATAGACCACATCCTGGAACACAAATAACATCTCTGCAAATTCAAAAAGTTTGAAATCACTCCTCATATCCTAGCTGACCACAATCCAATAAAATTGCAAGTTGCAATAAATTTTAAATTCTCCAGTAAACACACAAACTTGTGGAGTTTAAAGAACTCATTACTAAATGGAGAATGAGTCCAAGAAACAATCAAGAACTAAATTTTAAAAAAATTCTGGAACTAGGTAAAAATGAAACACAATACAACAAAACCTCTGGGACATATTAAACACAGTCCTACAAGGAAAATGTATTGTTCTAAGTGCCTACATTAAAAAATCAGAACAAGCACAGATGAATAGCTTAATAACAGTACTCAAAAAGTTGAAAAAACAAGAATAAACCAAATCCAAACCTAGTCAAGTTTAAATCAATTAAATGGAAACAATAAAACAATCCAAAGAATCAGCTTATCTAAGTGCTGATTCTTTGAGAAGATGAACAGAATTGACAGGCCATTGACCCAAGTAACCAAAAGAAAGAAAGTGGGGACTCAAATCAATAGGATCAGGACAACAGGGCAACATTACAATAACTCCCAAAGAAATTTAGAACACTGTAAGGGAATGTTTTTAAAACCTGTACTCCATTAAGCTGGAAAACCTAAAAGAATGGATGAATTTCTAGATTCAGCCAAACCATCAAAATTAAACCAAGAAGGAATCAACATTCTTAACAGATCAATAACAAATGAAGAGATCAAAATAGTAATTAAAAGCCTTCTAGATTAAAAAAAAGTCCAGGACCAGATGAATGGATTCAAAACAAAATTCTATCAGACTTTCAAAGAAGATATATAGCCAGTCCTTCTTCAATCAGAAGGAGCACTCCCAAATTCTTAATACCTCAACCAGGTAAAGAAACACACACACATACCACAAACCACACTATGCACAAAAAAAAAAAAAGAAAAGAAAGAAAGGAAAGGAAACCACCTGCCAATATCCCTGATGAACATAGACTCAAAAATACTCATGGGATACTTGCAAACAGAATATAGGCATGTACTATGACCAACTTGGCTTTATTCCTTAAATTCAGGTATGATTTGACATATGCAAGTCAATAAATTTAATAAACCACATGAATGGACTTAAGGCAAAGATCAAATGATCATCTCAACGGATGAAGAAGCCTTTGACACAATCCAACATGCATTCAGGATAAAAGTCCTAGGGAATGTAGGGCTAGAGAGAATGCACCTCAACGTAATAAAAACCATATCCGACATCATCCTAAGTGGACAAAAGCTTGAAGCAACCCCAATGACATCAGGAAAGTCACAGAGATGTCCACTATCCCTGCCATTTTCAATACTGTGATCAAAGTGCTAGCTGAAGCAATGAGGCAAGTAGAGGAAATCAAAGGGAAATGGATAGGGAAGAGGTTGTCAAACCATCCCCTCTGACAGAAGACATGATCCTGCACCGTAGCCAAAAATGCTACCAGAAAATGGAGATAAGATAAACGAATTTATCAATGTGGTAAGATAAAGAATCAACTTGCAAAAATCAACACCTTTTCTATATACCATCAACAAATATACAGAGAAGGAGATCATGAACACACTCCCATTCACAATAGCCTCAACAAAACGAAATATCTAGGAGTAAGCCTAACCAGGGAAGTGAAGGACCTCAATAGTAAAAACTTTAAACCTCTGAAGAAAGAGTTAGAGAAACATACTAGAAAATGAAGAGACAT